GCTGAGTAGATATTACAGCCAAGACTGTAGACCAGTGAGCTACGGTCAATTCACTGTCATTTCATATTTAATCAAATTGTGATCTTGCAAGACTGGTGGATCCCCACGACTCGGCATTCATCATATGTAAATTAAAGTGTTATATGCATGTGCATGATCGTGATCTATTGAAATCCAATCTGTGCAATTTTTTATTTGCAAGATTAGGGTTAGATTGAAATTCGAAAATTTCTAAAAAAAATCCAGTTCATCTAAGCTACTAGTACTGGCCAATCGATCCGAGCAAGATAACCACACTCCCATGTATTGTGTTGCTGGGACAGTCAATCTCACTCAGTTTATACAATGTTTTTTGCACACGCGCACGCCAACGAGTCGACGTTTGTGGCACTTCGTTGCTAAGCATCATTTTTAGAACGTCCTCTTTCAATGCTGATTGGCTAGAGGCGCCTGTCAATCACGCGATCACGCTGGATGGACGTGTCAATTGATCAGGGACTAGCGGAGATAACAAAATCTCCATACAAATTACCACGCTCATTTACAATTTATACAGTAGTTTGGATGTAGCCTGCACGGGGTGAATTTCTCATCCTGTAATAGTAGTTTGCTGCTTGCCTGCATTGCATGTGTGCGCGCTCACTCTCATCGCCACACACCTCACCTCACAGTTCGCTTGCTATTTATCCACTCAGCGTACCGCGCGCGTGCGTAACGAACGTAACGATGGGTGCGCCCCCTGTTGTCGCCACCTCGTGTCTTTCTAGTCGGCTGACGATGTTTTTTTCCTTGTTTCTCGTTCTCTATGCATTACTCAACGGTCACCAAGGCCTTGGTAAGTGTCGCACGTCTTTGTCTTTCGATTCTTATGTGTCTTCTGCGCTCGTGTGTGTGGCTGTTGTGATAGTGGTAGCGAGTGCAAATCTTCTATGTGTGTGTGTGTGTGTGTGTGTGTGTGTGTTGTGGTGCTAGTGTCGGACGTTTATAGAACGGTGGAGCCGTTTGCGTGTGTCACGTGGCAGTGCGGGTGCGTGAGAATCGCGCCTCTAAATCGCGTGTGTGGTGCGTGTAAGTCAGTCCGGCTATTGCTCGCTTGCGCTGCATTGCATGTGTGCGGTAGTGGTGCGTTGGCGGTGTGCGGCGTGGGTCTGCCGTCTCTGTGTGTCCGTGAACGTCTGCTGCTCGTGCGCGTGCGCGATGTGTGCGTGTGTTGCGTGGGTAAGCGCTCGTGTTTGGCGCCGGTGGTCTGGCGTGTGTGCTGGTGTGTCTCGTTCTCCCTCCGTGCTCTTCTTATTCTGCTCTCATCGCTCCGGCTCGTCGTCACTCTCTCTCCAACTTGCTCTTCTCGCTCACTCTTCTATCCTCGGCTCTCCGCATCCAATAATCACTCTCGTCTACTACTATCCTCTCGTCCGCTCGTCATCTCCTCGATCACACCTCAGAGTCAGACGAGTTCGTGCGGCCATTGCTGATTTAGCGACCGTCCTCTCTGATCAGCGTACACGACGCGCCTTGTGCGGTACAACGCCAGACGTAAACGATGGGTCGCGCCACGCCGCTGTTCCACGCCACCGTGCTTCGTGTCTTTCTAGGTCGGCTGAACGATATGTTTTTTTTTTCCCTTGTTTCTCGTTACTCTATTCGATTCCTCTCTCCAACCTTCTCTTCTCTTTGTAATGTGTGGTGCAATGTGCTGGTGTGTGTGCCTGCAGTGGTGTGTGATGTGTGTGTTTGTGTGTGTCCGTCACCTGTTGTGTGTGCACGTGGTGCATGAGGGAAGCGCCTGTGGGCTCATGAATGTCGCACGTCGTTGTCTTCGATTTCGAATTCATTATATTGTGATCTTCTATGCGCAGTTGCTTGGCAGTGTTGTGGCTGTTAGCGTGAGCAAAAGATAGAGTAATAACTTTAAAATGACCAAAAACGATGCAAATGCTCTCAGTGTGTGGTGTTGGGTGTGTGTGTGGTGTGTCGTTGGCGTGGCGTAGCGTGGCGTGCGTGCGTGGAGTGTGGTGCGTCTGCATTCGTGCGTGCGTGTCGTGTCGGTGGATGTGTGTTGTGCAGTAGTGGTGTGTTTGAAGCGTATGACAGTTGCCGTTGTATCTGTGACCTGACCGTGCGTGCGTGCGTGCGTGCGTGAGTGTGCGTAGGCGCGTCACTGCGAGTCTGCGTCTACGGCGTAAAGACTGTGTGTGTCGTGGGAAAATAGTGGAGTAACAGTGTCGTGCTAAGTTTGTGTTAGTGTTTGTGTGTTGTCGATCGTTTGCATGAGAGTATGGCTTCGTGTAGAGAGTGCGGTGTGTGTGTGTGTGATTGTGCGTGTGCGGCGCGCGAGGTGGGAGTGGTGCATCCTGCATTCGTGGCGTGCTTGCGTGCAAGCCTGCATGGCGGGCAATATGTGCATGGCTGTCCTCGAATAGTCAAGGGTCCACAAGGAGGGAACCACATGCATGCTGGACAGATCGTGGCATCCAATCGATGTGTTGCGAACTAATTTCAATATCTACAATGGGGAGAGCACAGTCTGCCACTCTCAATGCTATGCACAAATGGGGTATTGTGTAAGTGTTGTGAAACACTGAGAAAGAGTCAGACCGCCTTCCGCGTGTGTCTAACACTCGCACTACAGTATGGACGAGTTTCGATATAGATCCTTACGTGAGATATTCCAACCTTAAGCTCGCTTCCACTATAAATCTACCAGGTTAAGGTTAGCGATTACGCTTCGACGCTTTAACTGAGGAAAAATTGCGAGTCAGTACATCTTGCGCTAGTTTTGTATTGTTTGAGCAGCAATGGGCGGGGGTGCGCGCGCATGGACGCGTGCGATCGTACATGTAGTGTAAGGGGCCAGGTGTGTTTGGTCCTGCGTGCGTTGCGAGTGCGTAGCGTTCAGCCGTTCTTCTGTGCGTCTGCTATTTGCCAATACGAAGGTGTATAGCGAGCGATTCTGTGTTTTGTATTGAGCAATAAAGGGCAAGGTACGTATAGGGAATTTGTGTACAGGGTGTTGGTTGTGGTCGGTTGCACATTGATAACTTCATGAGCGGGCGAGAGAGGATGTTGCGATGATTGTACTGTAGGCTTATGTTTAAGTGTCGTATAAACACTACAGTGCATAAGCATGATGTATTGTTTATGAATATAGTGTCATCAATTTTAGCACGGTGGCACGGTTATGTTCATCGCATCTATCACAGGGATGGCAGGCTGCTTTAGGCGTCCGCATAATGACAGGATGTAATAATGTAAGAATGTCTCATAGGACGGCAGAATTCGCGGCGGCACTAAGCAATGCTAACACGAGTCAGCGAAACGAGTGAGTCAGTGTAAAGGCGGCTGTAGCCATGTAAACCGACCGTTAGCGTCGTAGCGTGGGCGTACATATACAGGATAAAAGTTTTACGTATAAAGGTGGTGTGCATGTAGGGGACAGGTACATTACAGCGTAGGGTACGTGTAAGCATATACAATATGGCAATAATGGGCACGGGTACGTTTCTTAAGGGTGTAAATATGCGTAAGGGCAGGGTACGTGTAAGGGTGTAAATATGCGTAAAGGGCAGGGTACGTGTAAGGGTGTAGGTACGTGTAGTGATGGGTACATGTAGGGTGGGTAACGGTTGTAAGGGTGTAGGTACGTGTAGTGATGGGTACATGTAGGGGTGGGTACGTGTAAGGGTGTAGGTACGTGTAGTGATGGGTACATGTAGGGGTGGGTACGTGTAAGGGTGTAAATATGCGAAGGGTGTAGGCGCATGACTACACATAGTGGAACGCGCGGGCACGTAACGCGAGCACGAGTGTCACATGCATACACACGCGCGGCGCGCACGGTGGGTAACCTGTCAAGCGGTGATATGCTATCGACGCAGCTAACAGATAGACAGTTATACTAATATATATTATAGTTGTGGGCTCCACACACCGATGCAACAAATGCGTATGCATAGGTAAGTCGCTAGTCTGCATGACGGTTACAATCTCTATGCATCAAGCGGTGGGTAACGGTGTAACGGGTGTAGGTACGTGTAGTGATGGGTAGCCAACACACACACACACACACATGGTAGGGCAGGGTTGCGTGTGAAGGGCTGTACGTACGTGTAGTCACATGGTACATGTAGGGGTGGGTACGTGTAAGGGTGTAGGTACGTCTAGTGATGGGT